GTGTCAAAACAAGGCTTAAGTGGTATTGATTTCTATGACAACCAATGCTTTCAAATGACTTTCACTATAATTACGAGTCTATAGATTAGCCAATAGTGTGCGGATTGAGAGGTGTTTGCGATTAACACTGAATTGAATACAAAAATCCAATTATTGTCTCATTTATCGCATAATCGCATGAATTGTGTTATCGCTGAATGAGATATGAAGTGCGAGTCGTTGTGAAGCACTGGTAGTCTATTGGAAGCACTGGTAGTCTATTGGGAGTCAATACAACCCCTCATTGTATGACAAACCCAGTGCTCAACCATTTGTCGCACTCTTATTCCTAACATACTTTTTATTCCTCGGCAGCGGTCTTACCATTTGAAGCCATTAGCCATTCATACGATTACCGGACGCACAGACACATAGACACCAGTCCTCCATAATGTCAGCGCCTAAGGATAGGATCAACACTATTGCCAGACATCTGCAGACAAACGCCGACCAATTGTCCACATCATCCATACCTAAGAAAAGGTTTGTTGATATCTTGAGGTTTATGAATGACATGGACTGACAATGTCTTGTGCGGTGATCGGCGGCCAGGGAGTCGTTACTCAAGTGGAACGGATGGGGATATAAGGACTCGAAGTTCGAGTTCGACGAGAAGAACCACATGTTCTCCTTCACAGGGGAACGGTATCGCATCGGGAGTCAGAATTTGCCACTTTTTAGTCAATGGGTTGAGTCGGCGCTGGGCGTCGACCTCAAGAAGCGCTTCTACTCACAGGTCTGTCGCCACAGAATCTGATCCATTGGTTACCACATAAGACTCGAAACCAATTATCTCTTGCAGTCGGAGTCGGAAGCACTGGATTTGCCAAAACCTATAGTCAACGAACAACTGATGAACGATCTCTTGAAGACATCGATCGCCCACTCGTTCGACCCGTCGGACCGACTGTTCCGCAGTCACGGCCACACTCTTCATGAGATCTTTACACTCCGTGGCGACCGATTCAAGAGAGTCCCCGATCTCGTGGTTTGGACCAAATGTCACGAAGAGGTGGTGACTATAGTGAAGTTGGCCACGGATTACGACGTTGTGGTCATACCATTCGGCGGCGGAACCAGCGTTTCGGGTGCTCTTCAGTGCCCGGAGAATGAGAACCGAATGATCATCTCATTGGACACCTCGCAGATGAACCGTGTCTTGTGGGTCGACCACCAGAACCTGACGGCTCACATCGAGTCCGGTATATTCGGTCAGGACTTGGAGCGCGAGTTAGCCAAACACGGCCTCTGCACCGGACACGAACCCGACTCCTATGAGTTCAGTTCATTGGGGGGATGGGTGGCCACCCGGGCCTCCGGTATGAAGAAAAACATTTACGGCAACATTGAGGACCTACTGGTGCACGTCAAGATGGTCACCCCTAAGGGCACTGTCGAGCGCAACTGTCAGGTGCCCCGCATATCCTCCGGTCCCGACATTCATCACTTCATTCTGGGTTCGGAGGGAACGCTGGGAGTGATCACTGAAGTGACACTTAAGGTGCGCCCACAGCCCGAGTGCCAGAAGTACGGGTCGATTATATTCCCGGACTTCGAGACCGGCGTTAAGTTCATGCGTGAAGTGGCCCGACATCAGCTCAAACCAGCATCAGTTCGGCTCATGGATAACGAACAGTTCATTTTCGGTGATTATTACCTCTTGGAACGAGTGTCCAGTGTTTGAGACAATGATTTGATGTCAAATACTTGCGTCTAATTGCAGGTCAAGCTCTAAAACCTGGCGCCGCGTCTATACTCCAGTCAATAGTCGACGGCTTTAAGAAGTTTTATGTGACAAAAGTGAAGGGCTTTGATGTGAACCACATGTGTGTCTCCACTCTACTTATGGAAGGCAACAAAGAGGTGAGTGTTGTGTTTGTGGTGATGATTAAGACATTGACTTATCCATCGATTGTTCAGGACGTCGAACGCCTCGAAGAGAGAATAATAGCGATTGCGGAACAATTGGGAGGAATGTCTGCGGGCGAAGAGAATGGACGGCGAGGATATTTGTTGACATTCGTGATCGCATACATTCGGGTCTGTATTTGCACCACAATTAGCTCCAAATTGATCCCTAATTATTGCATTCGCTTGCAATAGGATTTGGGATTAGATTACGGAGTAGTGTCCGAGTCGTTCGAGACATCTGTGCCATGGGATCGGTGTCTGGATTTGTGTCGAAACGTTAAGGAAAGGCTGCGAAACGAAGTGAAGAAATACGTGACGAGTAAACCGGCGCTCATCACCTGTCGGGTCACTCAGGTATGCGTTGAATCTCTTGCGGTGATTGTCTTAAGTGTTTTAATGAATACTTTTGTGTTACGACTGCAGACATACGATGCGGGCGCCTGTGTTTACTTCTACTTCGCGTTCAACTATCAGGACGGCATCGCCGGTGGAGATCCGGTCCACGTCTACGAGACTATTGAGTCCTCGGCCAGGGATGAGATAATCGCCAGCGGCGGCAGGTATTCACTGATTGCTGTTATGGTTGATTTGATAGGCTAATTATGTGTGTGTTGGCACCGGTAGTATATCCCATCATCACGGAGTCGGTAAGATCCGGAAGCAGTGGTTGGAACAGACAGTGTCTAACGTAGGGCTGGGAATGCTTAAGGCTGTCAAACAGTATGTCGACCCCAGCAACATCTTCGCCAATGGAAACCTCATGAGTTGATCGCTGATGGAAACACACGCTGTCATCGAATGTCACAAACCATTCAAGTCTTTGAGATAACGAATCAATTTTACCACTAATTTATTGTAATCACGAAAACATTTCTAGTTTTTTGTACAACATTTTGATAATCAATTAAGTCTTAAGTATTGGAAATTTTGTTAGTCATTGTTTTTAGTTCCTATTATTTACAAGAATTGAATCCAAGAATTAATGATTTTATGTAATAATTGTATTCCTCGAATACCACTTAATATCTGAAAACGATTGGATTATTGTCTTTAAGTATTAATACAAATGAAGTTCATTTACCGTAATAGTCATTAGTTCACTGATTATAAGGTTTTTAAATTTTATGAATTAAATTATAACTAATTATTGGCTCAATTCAGTACTTATACACAGTGTACACATACGGTACAGTATTGTATGTATTTTAAATAATGAATCAATTACAGTATTAGTAATAAATAAATTTTTATTCGTGGTATTCATGGAAATGTTTGGCATTTAAATTATTGATCAAGCTTAGTTTCATAAGTTGAAAGCAGCGACCGGTTATCTAGTGATACGACTGTCCCAACCGATAGCACCGACGGGTTTCTCGTACGAACACATTCCCAAACAGATCTCGAGGGACGGGAACATCGATTCCGCGCCCAAAGAGTTTCAGGTGAGGGCTCTGGACGACGAGTCGGACACTTCGGGTCGACTTCTGGGGAATTATGTGTACGAAGACAACGACAGTCCGATGCAGTACTTCCTCCGCGCCCAAAGAGTTTCAGGTGAGGGCTCTGGACGACGAGTCGGACACTTCGGGTCGACTTCTGGGGAATTATGTGTACGAAGACAACGACAGTCTGATGCAGTACTTCCCGGTCGAGGACCCGAATCCACGGCCCGTCGAGTTCGTAGAGTTAGTCATACTTTCAAATCACGGACACCACGACTACAGCTGTCTCTATAGGTTCAGAGTTCACGGCAAACGTGTTGATACTTCAGACTCTTCCTCATAGTTATGGCAAGAGTTTAGAAGTGTTTGCATTTTCTGTGATTTGTAATCATATTATTATTTATTTTAAATGTTTTATTCAACTAATCCTACTCTTTACAAGAAAATGGGTTTACTTTTAAACTGTATTAATACTTAATAGTCATTCAGTGAATAATAATTAAATATTTGTGTTTTATGTTTAATCATATTTTATTATTAATATATCATATCAAGGTTAGTTAGTATTTTAAACAACTTTTTAATGCAATTATATACCGTACAAAAAAGTTAATATAACATTATGTTCTAAACAGTATGCGAGACATACAGTACTGTAACATACCCTGTTATCACTCAACCATTCACTCGACTGTCTAACGAACCCTTCCTTTGCTTTATTTATTCATTCATTCATTCATTTCCTAATTATTTATCATTACTTAAGACATATTAAGACATATTTTTGTGTAAATATAACGACAATAAGGCCTTAAATTCTTAGGTTTAAATTTTAAGTTTATTAATATTACCGGTACAGTATATACAGTATACGGTACTTATGTTAAAGTTTATAAACATTGAAAACATTAAATTTTATTTATATTAATTTTAATATCAAATTTTAATTCAAGTTTACGAGCGTTTAGTCAAAAACGTGTGAATCGACTGCAGGTCTCGACTCAACCAATCGATGTTCACACGAATCGATTCCAAAGACTGTTTTACTGTGCGTTCAGTTCCGGGGAATGCGTTTTCGGTGAAGAATGTCTGCACGTCTTGTAGA